GACGCGCTGCTGGAGAGCATTCACCGCGAGTTCACGCGCACCAACTTCCACCTCTTCATCCAGACCTAGGCGCCCGGGCTGGCCCCGCCCCGCCCTCGGCCCAATTTGCCGGATGCGAGGGGAGGCCCAGTCCCAGCAGCCGCAGAGGCTCTCGCCATTGACACCGGCCCTGCGGGTCTTCCCCGAGTAGCTGGCTCCTCCTTTGACATCGAGGAAGATGCTCTTTGCGTGCACTCAGAGTGTGGCTCTCCCGCCTTTGTCTCCGTTCCACTCTCTAAATCAAACAATCTGTCTCTCTCCCTCAGTAACTTTGTAGATGTCTGTCTGTGTGCCCTGTCGCTCCATCTTTGTCTCTCTCTGTCTCTGTGTCTCACATCGTTTCTCACGCCCAGGCCTGGCCTACAGACCCGGGAGCACGGGTCCTGATCAGAGTATGAGATCTGTCGGGAGTGTCAAGTGCCACCTGGAGCCCCGGGTTCTACCCTGGAACACAAAGACCTGCCCTTCCTTGTACTCCCTATGGCTGGAGGCAGGCGCAGTGCCCTTGCCTGTGTTTCCTCTTTGGCTCACATCTTTAGTGGTTGGGCAGGTGCCTGGGCATCGGGGAGGTCTTGCCATCTTAACTATCCACCCAGGCACTTCTCTTGTAGGCCCAATAAGATGCGGTCCTGAGGGTCAGGGGTTACTCTGCTGTGCTAGCAGCCCCCCATCCCCCAATCCAAGTGAAACTCTAATCTGTATGACCCACCTGCGCAAGGAGAGGGGTGCCCAGTGTACTCCCCACCCTCACACACACAGAGGAGGAAACACGGTGCCGTGAGCAGACAGCCTGTCCTGTGGGCCCTTTCTAGAGAAGAAGCCAGCAGCCCTGACCCTGTGCCTGCCATGGGGGCCACCTGTCCACTCTGGCAATGAGTTACCCCTCCCACACCCCAAGCAAAGATGCACCCCAGACACAGAGGGGAACACAGGACACAATAAAACTTTCCCAGGACAACTCCAGACACATCTGAGATCAACTGGGCAGTAACCCAGCTGCCAGAGAAGCTTCTCTCTGCATGAGGCCCGGAGACCAAGTCACAGGCCGTCCCTGCGCAGCCTGCCCACCCTCTGCCTGCTCTGTGCTCTCCAGGGAAGCAGAAGAACCAGGCAGGGTCTTGACTCTGGCTGCTGGAACCAGGCACATATATCACAGGTGCCAGCGACCTGCACTAGCTCCTCAAGGTGCCAAATGGAGAGAACCAGTCTGAAATGTTGGTTCAGGGTTCTCACCTCCCCCCGCCCCCACCCCTGCCTGAACTTTCCTTGAACTCTGAGGAGGGGCTCATTTCCTGCAGAAGTCCTCCCACAGAACATGGAAAGCCCCGTGAGAAAGAAGATGCTGACACTTCCCAAGAGGTTTGCTCTTTAGACTCCCCAGAGCCTCGATCAGCAGGGTGAACCCCCTGTCACAGGGAAGGAGCAGCTTGTTCAAGGCCCCTCCTGGCCGCCGAGAGCTAATCCTGGCCAAGGAATGCAGGGCACGAGTTGAATGGGAAATGTTCCCGACTTGAGTGCACACCTCAGGAGAGCTTGGGCTCCGTGCCTGCGATGGTGTTGAAGCAGGAAGCCACTCGAAGGAGGCTAAGAGGAGTTTCGCAGCCCACCACACAGGAAGTTGGGGCTCAAGGGCCCATCCAGCCCTGCCCTCAAGGACTTCCTCTGCCACTCCACAGGCAGGCATGGTGGAAGCCAAGAACCTAGGTTGGCCTGAGAGCCCTGGCCCAGCCGTGCAGCTTGCCTCAGGGCACCCTAGAACGCTTGGTCTCACCCGCACACCCCCCTGGAAGTCTATGACCGCAAAGCTCCAGCCCGAGCCTGAGTTCCAGCTGCTGGACTGTCCTTGGAGGTCCTCCTAGCCTGAGCCTGAATCCATGGAACATCAAACTCCCCTCCCTGCCCACCCCCCACATAGCCCTTCATCTTTTATCTCCTTCCCCCTCATCACCCAGTTTCCAAGGTCTAAGGACTGACTCCACCCCTCCTTCCACACTAAAATAGGCTTCCTCCTTTCCTCTCCTGCCACTACCACCCTGTTCTCCAAACCCAGCTCAGATGGCACCACCTCCAAGATTTCCCCAAGGCAGGATCGGCTACACAATGTGTAGGGCCCTGTGCAAAAAAATGTATGCCCCTTGTGCCAAAATTATTCAGAATTTCAAGACAGCGACAGCAGAGCCTGAAATCAAGGCAGGGCCCTGCTAAGCACAAGGCCTATTGTGACTGGACACATCACATGACCATAAAGCAGGCCCTGGTTTCAGGCTTTCCACCTTGTGGAACACCTCACTTGGGACCATGTCCCCCTTGGAATAAAGAGCTTTATGTACATTTCAAGTGTCCCCTATAGACTATGAGCTTCAAGTGGAAAGCTCATCGCTGCATATCCTGGAGGGCGCAGTACAATGCTTGATTATTGATTTGGGCTCAATAAATACCAAATTGCATTCCATTGCATTGGCAGTTATCTGGAGATTGCAAGTGCAAAGTGAAACCGGCAGGTGGCACTGTTCCCTTCCTGAGAATTGAGTTTTCCTACTGTCAGGGTTCCTCAAGTTAATCTTCACTTTTTCAAGCTCTCAGGATCAGAACCTTCCAGGGTTGAGAAACATTGCTCCCATTCACATTTCCTCCTCATTTTTACAGATGGGGAAACTGAGGCTCTGAGAGAGAAGGCCCATGAAGTTCTCAGAGCGGTTGAGGACAGAGCCTGATTTGAATCCTATACTACTGATGCTAAGTCTGGTGCTCTGAGGTTCTTTTAATTCTCTACCTAAGAGTATTTAATACTTTTAGTTTTCTGCTAGCTGGGGGGGCGGGGGCGGGGGGAGCGGGTTACAAGGGGCAGAAAGCAGGCGGCAGGGCACATAGTGAGAATAAGGTTAAAAATTTGTTCCAAAATCTCCCAATTGACCAGCTTTCATGCTGCCTGAGGTTCCACCATGAACAAACTAACTTTCTGGCTTACGCATGGACCTTTGGGTCTCTCGCTCTCTCTCTTGTTTAAATTGGGTTTCCTCAAAGAGAACTCATAACCACGGTGTGGGTGAAATTCTCAGGTAGCTTCCTCCCTGGGGAGGATGTGGACTGCTCAGGCCATAGACCATGAAGATGGTAAGAGAGAGAGGAAGTGGCTTTAAGGGGAATGAAACCAATAACACAATAATACGTTTTGCAAGGGTCAACATTGACCATACTCACCAAAAAGGGCCCCACAGTAAGGCTTGGCTCTGTTCCAGGCCCCAATTGACAAAGGCAGGCAGGGCAGCGGTGACACAATAATGCTTTCAGTGGTGAAGTGGCAAACACCTGCTGTAACTGGCTGCTCGCCACCTGGGGCAGGGCTGGGGGATGGGAGGAGCAGGCAAAGTCCTGGGGAAAGGCACGACCTTGGGACCAAGCTCCTTATGGACTCACTTTGGTTATAAAGTGTTGAAGTGGGGACCACTCTACCGAGCTCATCCCCAAACCCCTAGTGATTCAAAATGAGCAGGCAGTTTGGACAACACCAATGGAACAGATGTGAGGGCTTTTCCAAGACTCCAGTTACAAGGAGCAGAGACCCCTCAAGCCTCCTGGGGCTCAGGAAAACCAAGTGTGGCAGGGGTCTCAGAAGAGCTTTGAGACCAGACTCTTTGCTTCAGAGGGGGTTTGTGGGGCCGGAGCAGCCCCAGTGAAGGGACCCTGACACAAACCCTTGGATAGTGTGATTGTGAGCACTCTGGAGCCCACCAGCCAGGGTCTGAATCCATTGGTAGCTGTGTCAATTTGGGCGAGTTATTTAACCTCTTAGCTAGTTTCCTCATCTGTAAAATGGGGGTGCTAACAGGACCTTACTGTGCGGAATTGTGACGATTAAGTGAGTTCAGGTGTTAAGCACAGAATGGACTTGCTGGTGGTCTGCTAGGTAAAAAGGATCTTACCCACCTCCCAGCGTTGCTGTGAGGATCAAGAATCAAAAGAATTGTCTAGAGTCCGCCAGTTACAATGCCCGCTGAGGCCAAGCTGACAACGTGAGTGAAGCTGGTGGACAGTCTGTGTCGAGATTGAGAACCCACGTGCAGGTGGGCTCCTGCCTGTCAGCAGCTAATTGTTGCCATGCTGCCTGAGAGTTGTCAAATCTTTTTCCCCAAGAGAAGTGAGGAATCTGGATTTTGATGGGAAGTGGCCTCATTTCTAGTTGGCAACTAATCCAAGGACTTTTGTATGTTTGTTTGTTAAACACGGAACCATCTTACCATCTATGCAACACAGAGGTAGGCGTGCGTGCCCTGCAGGCCACCGGGTGCACGCTCCCACTTCTTCCATCCTCTCCAGGCCTTTCCTGGCTTCCCACATCTCTGCCTCCACTGTCTGCCTCCCCAAAGGGCATTTGGGCAGGGCAGTCATCTCAAGCTCCACTGAAGCCAAGGGAAACAGCCCGGAGAGAACTTCTTATGAACTTTAAAACCACAGAGGCAGGCGATCTAGAAAGTATCAGGTTTTATTATCTCTTTATCAAAAAGTCAGTAACAGACAACAGTGTGAAGGGCTACAAGAGGTGCTCACGTCCAACACAGCCAGAGGAAAGGACCTGGGGATGGGTGGGTGGGGGGTGGAGAAGAGGACCCAGCCAGCTGGGAACCCTGGGTTGTGGGGGTTCAGGGTTCAGGAAGTGAGGCTGATTCCCCCCACCCCAGCCAGTGGGGTCAGAAGATGCAGCCTATCCAGGCGAGGCCACCAAGCCCTCCTCTCTGGAAGGGAAGGTCATGGGTAACAGGCTCCGAGCTAGGGCGTAATCAGCGTGGGTGGGGGATGGAGAAGAGGACCCAGCCAGCTGGGAACCCTGGGTTGTGGGGGTTCAGGGTTCAGGAAGTGAAGCTGATTCCCCCCACCCCAGCCAGTGGGGTCAGAAGATGCAGCCTATCCAGGCGAGGCCACCAAGCCCTCCTCTCTGGAAGGGAAGGTCATGGGTAACAGGCTCCGAGCTAGGGCGTAATCAGCCCTCCCCAACCCCGTCCTTTGCCCAGGAAGACAAAGGTCACGCCAGCAAAGCTGGGGCTGTGACTGCTAAGCCAGCTTAGCTCTCCAGCAGTGCCATCCAACAGACAGAAATGGCCTCGACCTGCCTGCTCACTACAGTAGCCACTAGCCACACGTGGCAACTGAGCA